GTGGAACTACAAAAGATATCTGTGCACACACAATACACACTGTAAACCTGAACCCAAGACCAAGTAAAAATACCCAAGATCTTGGGTAAATACCCAAGCAGTGGTCACGCTGATCCTACCTCCAATATTTCTGATCTATAGAGTTGTTAATTAGTTTATAGCCCTCTAAAATAAATATAAATAATGTTTGCTGCCCTCTAGAGTTAATGGCCATTCTCAAACTTTCATTGGCAATGAGGTTGAACATTCGGATTATATTTTAATATTTTAGCAATCATGTTCATGATAACATCTACACTTTTTTTCTAATTTAAATTTATTATTTCTGTTATGTCCATTCAGAATGTACAAAAAATAAATTTAAAAATGAGGAAGGGTTTTGGGGCTAGTAGTAATAGTATATACTGCATGCTAAGTAGGCTAGGCCTAGACGAGGCTTTGGCGGTGTAGGTCTAGTAGGAGGATCGCTTCGGCCGTGATGAATGCAACACATCCTCTATCTTATGTGGAGACTGCCTCAAATTTTCAAGTCCCAAAGATGGTGTCAAATTGGAGGGCGAAATATGAAAAAATAATTAGAAAAAAAAAATACAGAAAAACTAGCTAGGGGCTAGGTAGGCCTAGGTTTTGGCATCTCTAACTAGACCCAAAGTCACTTCGGCCCCAGTGAACTGGGGGACTAGGCCATGGAAGGTAGGCCCAACCTAGCCTCAGTGAACTTGGCCCCGAGTCCACTTGGCTTAGGGTCAGCTTAACTTTGAGCATAGCTCTAGGCCTTTCCTCAGATCTGTTATGTCTATTCAGAATGTACAAAAAATAAATTTAAAAATGAGGAAGGGTTTTGGGGCGTTCCAGGAGCTCTTTCCCCTGTTTTTTTTAGTTTTAGACATCTTTTTGGCTGGTGCTGGTGGAGTGAGCGCCTCTTTAGCTACCTCCTGTTTCGTCATTGGGTTTTAAAAGCTTTTTTTATTGCTTACTTAATAATAATTTTTTTAAATAGTTATTTATTTAATATTTAATATCAATTTGAATTTGAAAAAACTTTTTATTATAATTATGGTAATCATTGTAATTCCTAGATTATTAATTTACAATATTATCTATAAAGATTAATTGATGTCTTTTAAACTATTTCAGAAAAGTCATCCCTTGAAAGGAGGTCGTGGTTCAGCAAGTTTGGTTTCAAAATGCAAATTATGTAGCAGAGAAAATTCAATAGGTAAGAAATAGAAATACAAATAGTTATGATAAATTGTTTCTGAAACTTTATTTACAAACGAAAAGAAATATGTTGCCAGATTAAAAAACATCAATAAGAAATTTGTTACAAATTACTAACATGAAAAATTTGAAGTTTAAGGGTAGAAAAAAAAAGAAGTGTAAGTGATTAATATGAAATATAGCATGTGAAAAAAACTCATTTCTTGCATATCTTTTTTATTCTGATTTCAATTTTAAAATATGATTTCAATGCATTATTGAGAACACATTTAAATCATATGGGTAGCTATTAAATTTGACTTCAAATCTTTTATATTCCACTTTTTATTCTTCAGCTATGTATTTTTAGAGTTGTTTTTTTTTTTTATGATATTGCATATTTTTCTTTGTGTAACATCTCCTGCATTTCAAATTTATCTGCGAGATGGAGATAAGGATATGAAAACAATAAATATAAGTTTTAGGATTTTAAAGAAAATGCTATTTCTTTATTATCGTTTGCTATTGTTATGTTATATGAAATAGAAAAGGGAACTAATTAATCCTTAATGAATAAAGCTTGTAAATTTAAAGGTGGATATTACAAAGGAAAAATATTGAATGTGAAATGATGTTTAAAGGAAAGTAAAAATCCTGTAATGAATTACAATAATTTGGTGATTGATAACTACAGTAGTCAGACGAACGCTTTAAATTTTTTTTTTGTAATTTAGATATCTTAATAATGGGTAGGCAAGTTTTGTATTATTTTTTTTTCTTTTAGGATTTCATTTGACTTTAAATTATGTATGAGAGACATCTTTGAATTTTAATAAATGACATATGTTTCTGTAGATATTTTGAAAGACACAATAAAATCCTATGACATTGAGGATAACAACCAGATGAAAACAATTGTAGGGTTTGAGTGCCGAGGAATGGAACCTGTTGATTTCTCACCCAGGGTAAGAACATCATAGCTAGGTTCACATTCAGTGTTTATCATGATCCAGTTGATATGATCAAGCCAGTAATTTTATGTCAGCCTACCAGAATAAAAAAACTGCTCAGCTTAATCACCTTATTGTGATCTAGTGGAGCATGTTAATGCATCATGATTAACCTTGGTTAACATGATAAATTAATTCATGAGATCAAATTCAACCAATCAGCCTTCAATTTATTAAACAGGTCCCAACCTCCTTGTGTGTGCTTTTGGTAGTTTTCATGCAACACTGCATGCATTAGCATAAATAGATCATGATGATGGTTTCTATATGAACAGTTTTCTTTAACATGCAATAGTTATAGTGATAAATAGATTATAATAACTTTATCACAAAAACTTAAGTGAACGTGCCTACTGTGTGTGCACTGAACCGTGGAGATCTCCAGATCCCTGGTTTTCATTGCTGCTCTCTTTGTGTTTCAGCTGGAGGGCTGAAATGCAAGTTACAATAGAGCACCGTCTTTCGGATGAGACGTTTAAGCCTTTGTGCATATTTTACAGTAAAGTTACTACTGTGCCTTAAAGTTACTGCTGTATAAATAAAGCTTTGTCTACACTATCAAATTTTATGTGACAAAAAAATGTGATGTGCCCATATATGGGTGCGAGACGTCATATCACATACAAATTGTATCAAAAAAGTTGAACGTGTTCAACTCTATGTTCCATCGAATTTTATGATGAAATTTGATAGTGTAGACAAAGCTTTAGAGAGCAACTTAGCTCAGTCGGCTAATCTGGTGGTAGCCACTGTGTGTGCGCTGAACCGTGGAGATCTTTAGGTCCCCGTTTCAATTCCCATCGCTGCCTCTCCTTGTGTTTCAGCTGGAGGGCTGAAATGCAAGTTACAATAGAGCACTGTCTTTCGGATGAGATGTTTAAGCCTTTGTGCATATTTTACAGTAAAGTTACTACTGTGCATTAAAGTTATTGCTGTATATATAAAGCTTTGTCTACACTATCAAATTTTATGTGACAAAAAAATGTGATGTGCCCATATATAGTACGATGACGTCATATCACATACAAATTGTATAAAAAAAAGTTGAACATGTTCAACTCTATGTTCCATCAAATTTTATGATGAAATTTGATCGTGTAGACAAAGCTTTAGAGAGCAGCTCAGTCGGCTAATCTGGTGGTAGCCACTGTGTGTGCGCTGAACCGTGGAGATCTCTAGGTCCCCGTTTCAATTCCCATCGCTGCCTCTCCTTGTGTTTCAGCTGGAGGGCTGATGTATAAGTTACAATAGCGCACCGTCTTTCGGATGAGACGTTTAAGCCGTTGGTCCCATGTGCATTTATGACCCATGTGCACGTTAAAGAACGCAGTACACTCTTTGGAAAAGAATAGGGGATTGTATCCCGGTGTACTGTCAAATCACCACTAGAAGGACTCCACTGGAAATAAGTCTTCTTCTAGACTTTTGTGGGCTATCCTTGGTGTTTACACCAAATAAATTCAATCCAATCCAATACCTTTGAAACAGTGTTGGTAGATCTGGGGACAGGGGTGGCTCCAGAAATTTGCTGAGTTGGGAGGGAGGGTGCATGTTACCGTTTAATTGGACAGTGTTCAGAGGATGCATTTAACAGATTGAGTGATGGAAGATCTAATGCAATCTGTCGTATGTTACAGGGGTTGTCGGCACCACTTGTGGTGTTATGGCGCACTGTTGTTGACGGAACCCTAGGGCCATTTTGTACCAATAAAATAAATGCAATGAAATGAAATCAAAATCATTATACAGTATGCAATCTTCATTAATCACTTAATACAGCTCCTATATTTTGTTTAGGTTGGGTTTGTTTGTTCTGGTGTTGAATCATCATCTACTTTCCAAGTGGACTTGACGGAAAAGGTAATGGAATTTTCAAATATGGAAATAGATTTCAAATTTGATAACGAGTATTAATATATACACGTTCTTATATATGTTACTATGGTTTATATTAGGCAAATAATACTATCAATATTGTATTTGTATTGTTATTTCAGGAATGGGTAGACTATGATGAGAATCCACAGGAGTCTGTTGGTGTATACGAAGTGGAGTGGAAATTTGTCAAATTATAGATTTTAGTATTAAAATAACATAGCAAAATTATAAATTTGTGAACAAGATTTATGTATTATATAATATAATGGCTAAAGCTATTATATCTGAACTTAAGTGGAATGTTGTCCTTCTTAAAAATTTCTAATAAAATAGAGAAAGACAAAATGTATTGCTTGATAAATATAACTTTATCTCTGCTGAAATTAGAAAAAGAATACTGTACTGTACACAGCAAACACAACACAGCAGCAATTTTTATTATTTTTAATATATGTCCTTTATTCGCACGCTGTATCTGCCTTTCTTTGATAATTTACCGTATATAACTATCACATACCCGTGCTCCGCACGGCGTTGAATGAGTGGGGAAAGGTGGCGATGTATTATTCAAATGGGGATTGGGCACAATATGCGTGGGAAATTTATACTGAGAAGAATTATGATGTGGGTGGAAGTATGTACTCTCCGAGTGCCCTCTAATCTATATTGTTCTTTTTTAAAATTTATATTGTAGCTGACCTATCATTTTATTATTATCAATAAATGTGTAATCAGTGTCTGTAAAAGAATAGCAAGTACGGTATGTATATAAATAGGTCAAATGATTATTTCCAGTATGACATATTTTCCTCGCGAATAATTTACAGTACCTGCGTGAACGAATTGACACTGTTTTTGAGATAGTATTGTGGACCCATGGCTTGTGCAAATTCAACAGTATCGGACAGGTTTCAATGCAAATATCAATATTTAATTGGTTTTTTTTTTTGTATCATGGAGATATCACCGTTAAGTTGTATTGTTAGCCATGATAAAAATCTTGTTTTTGGTTGAAATTTGGCTAATGATATTTGCTATCATTGAACATTGCCCTGTGCATGGGTGTCTATAAACCGAAGACCGAAGACCCCTATTTTTTCTCTTTTATCTTAATCATAATACACCAGGCAGTCACAAAATAAAAATTACGGAATTATTTGGACGTCTGTTTGTGAAATATCACACATACAATAGTCCCAACTCAAAGAAGAAGAAAATATAAAATCTATTGGTTAACCTAACAGAAGGGCCTCAACTATAATGAAAATGCTTAAATTCTGTTTCAAACACCCATATAGGGTGTCTATAAAACGAAGACCCTTCAGTATTTCTTTGTTTTCCTCAATTTATTCTGATGAAATAATGAAATATGTACCTGGGAATAGTTTTATGATGATTTAGAAATACTTCCAATGAAATAATTGAGAAATAATCGTAGGTCTTCGTTTTATAGGTCTTCCGTCTTCGTTTTGTAGGCACCCATATAAGGTGTCTATAAAACGAAGACCCTTGGATATTTCACAAACAGACGTCCAAATAATTCCGTAATTTTCATTTTGTGACTGCCTGGTGTATTATGATTAAGATAAAAGAGAAAAAATAGGGGTCTTCGTTTTTGGGTCTTCGGTCTTTGGTCTTCGTTTTATAGACACCCCCTGTGCATGGGGTGTCTGCCAAGTTGTTTCAATTATTACCTGCGGTAAAATCTGGAAAACCCTAAATAAATTGTAAATATTGAAGTGATCAAATAAATTAGGCGAAGCTTTTTCGACAAGCTCCGCCCGCCAATATTCCAAAATTTTAAATAAAATTAAATTTTATTTCTTGCTAATTGGTACACCCTCCACCACAAAATTATAGAAATTAAAAAAATCATTGATTTTTATTACACACTCCCTCACTTTGAAATCCTAAAAAATAAGTAACCTATTTTTCCTTAGTTATATAAATTTAAATCAAACATGTATCAATCCCATACGCTGTTTACATTCATAAATAACATTTTTATTTTCTTCTCCGCCTCGATGCTTTAGGCAACATCATTTTGTTAAAAATAAGAATACAATATTTAACTTTTTTTTTCGACCTCTGTGAGTCTTTTAAAAATAAGTACTTTAAACAAACAATGAAATAATAAAGTCTCGCCTTATAAACCTTTAATGAAAAACGGAAACAAATCGGTTTTCATAAATTTGCACATTTTTTTTTACATAAATCTTAAATTGGTTATCAGTCAATGGTAGGATCGGTTCTACTATTTATGCGTTCGTTAATTTATGAGTTTTCCACGATTTAATTTATATTTAAATCTAACAACAAATCTAACAACAAAACAAGTATCCTAATCACCTCAATCTCAGTTTATTAGTAATTGCTTATTTAATATTAATTAAGAAAAATAATCGTTGTTTAATATTTATTATCAAATTTAACTTAATATTTAATATCCATTTAAATTTATGTTTTTTATCTATTTTTTTATTTATATTGGACAAGGTTTTAAACTTCAGAGCATTACTGAGAATGCGTTTATATCAAGTGGGTAGCTATTTCATTTGACTTTATTTTTTTTTTGTCTTCCAGTTTTTAGTGTTTAAGCTTTATAATTTGTTTTAATATTTTGATATTACACTATATGTTATTTTTGTCCAACATCTCCTGCATTTCCAAATTTTAGCTGCGAGATAAGCGTATAAAAACAAAATGAATACATGTTTTAGGATTTTAAAGAAAATGCAAAGAAATGTTGGTTGCTATTGTTATGTTTTATAAAATATAATGGGAAACTAATTAATTCTTATTGAATAATGCTTTGAAATTAAAAGGTGGATATTACAAAGGGAAAATATTGAATGTGAAATAATGTTTAAAGAAAATTAAAAAGTCAGCAATGAAATATTTTGGTAATTTATAACTACAGAAGTCAGAAGAATGTTTTAAATTATTTTTTTGTTTTGTTTTTTTTAAATAGATTAGATAATTATGTGTAGGAAAGGTTTGCATTATTGTTTTTTTTTTTGTTATATGTCATTTGGCTGCAAATTATGGTGTAAGTATGAGAGACCTCTTAGAATTTCAATAAATGACATATATTTCTGCAGATATTTGAAAGACACGATAAAATCCCTATGTCATTGAAGATAACAACCAGATTAAAACAATTGTAGGGTTTGAGTGCCGAGGAATGGAACCTGTTCATGTTTCACTCAGGGTAAGAACACCATGTGATGTGCATCAACATTCTTAAAGTATTTATCGAATTGTTAAAGTGACCAGTAGACCTTCGACCCCCCAAAACAAGTCAAGGAGCCACGGTATTGTGGCTGAGGTTTCCAAATCCGGTCTGGATACTGCATGAAAAAGACCATCTGACAGCCAGGCGCGTAACAGGGGTCTTGGATCGGGGGGGGGGGGAGGTAATAATTTTCCCGGTTAGTAATTTATCATACCTACCACCCCCCCCCCACTCATATAGAAAACAATACGACATAAGGGCTTATTATTTATAATATAGGCCACACACGTGTTTTTGAAACTGAATATAAGCATTTTCATTATGGCTTTATTTATTTAAAAAAAATATATTCTTTTACCATCATTACACATTGAGGCCCTTCTTTTAGGTAAAACGATCTATCTTAAAAATTCTTTCTTGAGTTTGGGACTATTCAAAACTTAGAAGGCTAACCCTTAAAAACCTCTAAAAAATGCGCGCCAAGTGCGCAAAAACATTTTGTGTTTTTAATTCTTATTTCGTCGGAATTGATCAAAACTCCCTAAAATGTGCAATTTTTATAGGAAATTGGCCTACTTTAACGAGAAATGCGCGCGGAGCGCGCGAAATTTGAGATTTTTATTCACTTCCAAGGGGTGAAAAGGGTATCTTCAAGGGGTGGAGAAAGATTTTCCATAGATAGATATTTTCCCCATGTCCCCCGGTGGTTACGCCACTGCGGAGAATATCTGGCAACTTAGATCAAAGGAGCTATGGACACTTTTTGTGAAAGTGCAGGGGTTGCAGGGTGTTGTGAGTCTGGTCATTATGATTTCTTCAATTTTATTCTTGTCTTTATTTTTCTCTTCTCTTTATTTTTTTTCCTTTCCTTTTCTTTTCCCCTTCTTTCTCTTTCCCTCTCTCTCCCCTCTTTCTTTTCTCTTATTACCCAGCCCGGTACTGCTGACAGCTCACTCTCAACATCTGCCGGCTCACTATGGACCATTTCGGCTAACGGAAACTTTTGCCTCATGAAACCTGAACCTATTTTTAGATATATAAACCTGAATTTATTATTTCGCATTAAACTCGTGTATACTCAACCTCAAATGCCCCGAATCCCCTTTAGGTTTAGCACCAGATTGTGGGCCATGAGGAATGTACACCCGTCGTGGTGAGCGCTAGCTCCTTCTGAGGGAACAGCTGTGACCCCATGTGGGAGAAAACATCACGTGTCAGGAAAAAGACAAAAATGTTTGGACTCTAATTTCGATTTAATAATTTGCGGGGGATTGGTGAGTTCGTCCTTGAGTGATTCTCTGGGCAGCGCTTGTTCCCCCCTTATGTCGCTGTCGTCGTGTAAATTCTGGTGCCACCCCTGTTTATTGTTATAGGCTAGACTTGTTTTGTAATGCTTTTTGTGTAATGTAATCCAAGCGGATATCGTCCCTTATGGGTTTTGTACTTTAAATATTTTAAACTCAAGCTAAAAAAACACGATTTCGATTTCGGTACGGAACCATAGTACATTAGAAGAAATTAAATTGAGTTTAATGTTTCATTTGTATTGTTTATTATTTATTATTTTTAATTATTCAAAATTTAAGTACAGAAATATATATAATTAACCAAAAAAAAAAAAATAAATAAATAAAACAATGCCTTGTATTAAGATATTAAAAATGATTGCCAATGCCAAAAAGAATATTGTAGGGATTGCTTAGCAATCCCTACTAAATTGCAAATTATATACAAACAATACGATTAAATTAAAAATGTCTAAAAAATATTGACAGAAATCAGATTAATGAAACACTGTCAATCACTAGAGCAACAGCCGAAAAAATTAGAAAAAAGACAATCACAAAATTGCATCATTGTACAACAGAAAGGTAAAATATTGGTTATAAAAAAAAAACGAAAAAAAAAAAAACAAGACAAGTGAACATACGTAATTAGTATGTAAGAATATTTATTTATTTATTTGTGACACTTCACTTTTGTATCGGTGGCACTCAAAGTCCCAAAAGAAAAAAGGTGAAAAGAATCTTATCATTAGCAATCAATACCTAACTAAAAATATCCAGGTAATTATTGACAGTAAAGGCGCACGACATTGTTTTCCTCGATAGTAT